GCGTGTAGAGACGCGTGAGTTGGACCGTTGCTCATGCTGGCTGGATGCACACTCACTGTTTTGTGCATGAATGGTGGATCTTGAATGCAATCAGAATCAGAATGTGAATGAATTAGATTTACACAACAGGCGACGAAAATTAAGGTCCGTCATTATTTACTGTTCTTCTTTAACTCGTGATTCACGTTTCTGATTGCTCATGCAGTACGGTGCGCCCCGGCCGCGACCGCGGATCAGCGGAGTGATTGGAAAGGGGGGGGCATGAATCAAATCGACTGGCGCGTCTAGCCGCTAGCGCGCCATCAGCAGCGGGAGCTTGTGCATTTATAGGGAAGCGTTGCCCTCCCACTCATCACACTCAACAACAACCGTGACTCGAAATCGTGCACGTTGGTCGGCGTGGATGAATGACTCGCTGTGATTTACCTATGATGCTGAACGACGTCCAATTCATGTGATCGTGATTCGAGACGACGCTCCCAAGTGTCAGGAGGGCATGGCCTCGGTGCCTTCAGAAGAGAATCGATCGAGTGCCCGCGCGGAGCAATTGCCAAGTCTGCAGCACCGCGCAAGAAACACTGCCAAGATGCTCGGCCTGCGCGCGAACGCAGCAGCCTGTTGCAACGTGAATGGTGAGTCAAGAGTCACGAGTCTCTATCTCTGCTGTTGAGCAGCCATCATCCATGCAATCAAGTGGGCGTACTCGATCCCAAGAACTGCAGCTATGTATAGCGAAGAGGCAGCTCTTACGGCGCGCCAAATCGACATCATGCAACTCTCATGCTCGCGCTCGCCGAGCGTGCCGAGCAAGGCGCGAAATCAGCCTTCATGCGGCCTGCTTTCCCTGCTTTAGCTCGTTTCATCCCGCCGCCCAGCAGCTGTTGACCCGACCCTTTGGACGGAACACTTGGCGACCGTTACCCTGATTGACACCTTACGATCCCCAGACTTCATCATTCTGCTCCGTCTTCTCCCTTTTTACGATCTTGTTCCCGCTCGTTGACACCGTATCTGACCGTTGCATTGAGTTCGTTGGCTCACCGCACGACTAATCAGCTGCTGCATATCACCTTTGACTTCTGGCGACCCCCTCTTTCCCCCGGATTTGAAGTTCGCCACTTCCAAATCATCCTCATCACCCGTGACCGCTCTACTATCTCCTCCTGACATTGATTTACTGACTGCTGGCCTCGGCGACTGGACGTTGACTCTCTGCGTTCTCCAACACTTCAGCATACCCAATTTTAGTCGCCGGTCGGCACTCCAAGCACTGAGTCGCATTGAGACATTCGTCATTCAGCACGACCACACAGCCTTTCTGCAATGTTCGCACGGAGTCTGACGGCACTGCTGCTCCTGAGCAGCCTCGTTGTCGCTTTCGCTGGTTCTGCATCCGCGCACGCCAGCGGTGTCAAGGTCGAGCGACACGCTGCCCGCAATGCCCGTCTTTCGAAGCGCGGAGAGGGAGGTTGGGGTTTGGTGGAGCAGGCGAACGGCACGCGGACATCGAACATCCCTGTCCGGGGAGGTCAGGTGAGTAGCATCGTCTCGTTTCGCATTCATGATTGTTCTTGCTGCCCCCCCGCACGCCGCCGACGCTCGGTGCTGCAGAGTGCATGAGACGGACGCCGGGGGCGAACACCGCTCTTGGGTGTGGCGCAAAAAAGACGCCGGCAAGCCTCCTTCATTACCGGCGCTGCGTGCATGCTGACGCCGCTTCATCTGGTGCCTGATCCCTCGATCGCAGTATGAGCTCTATGCATGGACACGAGACAATGTGACGGAGGATGCATACAAAAACTTGAAGAGGATCGTCTTCACCACGCACGGAATGGGCAGAGATCCATGGAACTACCTCTTGCACACACAAATCGCCTTGACTGCTGCGGTGGATGCTGGCTTGCCTGTGCAAGATGGCGAGATGGGACTGTGGGCACCGAGCTACTGGAACCAGATGGACGATCCGGTCGCCAATCGCACGGACACCAATTGGCTCTTTTGGTACCGCAACGAGTGGGAAGATGGCCACAACAGCATTCTGCCTGAAGGATCCAATGTCTCGTCCTTTGAAGTCTTGGACAATGTCCTCGCTTACTTTGGCAACCGTACCATCTTCCCCAACGTCGACTCCATCGTGCTTGCGTCTCACTCTATGGGGGCCCAGATGATGCAACGGTACGCCTTGCTGGGAAATATGCCAGACATTGAGCCAGAGGTCCACTTTGTTGTCGGCAACCCTGGTGCATACCTCTACATCGATGACCAGAGACCAGTGGGCGCCGGCGGTGCAATGCCTCTGGACAATTGTTCAGACTGGAACGCGTACAAATTTGGGCTCAACAAGGTCAGCGATGAGCTGACGTACGGTGTGCCCATCCCCAACAAAGACCTGTTATGGCAGCGCTACCAGCAGCGCAACGTGCATTACATGATAGGACAGCTGGACGACGGTCGCGGTGCCAACATCAGCTGCCCAGCTTACGTCCAAGGAGACGCTCACCGCACAAGAGGCGCTCTTTTCCACGCTTACTTGGAGCACCTAGGTGGTTTCCCCGCATCTCATACCCTCGACTACGTCGATTGCACTCACGACGACCAGTGCGTCTTCTCTTCGCCACAAGGTCAGCAGAGGTTGTTCTTGCAATCGAAAAAGGCCGGACAGGACATGCCTAGCTATATCCCCCAAGGCCCTTACAACAATCTGTTTCAGGGACCCGTCCAATTCGCGACGTCGGACGGCGAAGCGAGCAGAATGCCGGATGGCACTGCTTTTGTGCCCACCTCTTTCCGGGCTACCAACTCTGCATCCCCTGGCGATTCGAAAGGCAGCACCGGTTCGCAAGGCAACGCTTCTGGCAAATCAAGCGGTGCTCTCTCCTCCATGAGCGCGAACCCTTTCTTCTCTACGATGGCTGCGCTCGCGCTGGTCGCTCTGGCTAGCCTCATCACTCTTTGATCTGGCTCCTTCGTCCACTGTCAGGGAACGAATTTTTGACCATGCAAAATCAGAATCAGGATCACCGCAACATACCCCTCCTGTTTGCCACTTCTTGCCCCACCCCCCTCTTTTGGACAATTTCGCTTCACCTCTTTCACTTTGTGTGCCCATAGATTAATGCCGAATCGCTCCCTCTTTTCGTGTCCGAATGCGTGATGTGTTCTTTGCGATCCGTAGCTGCCGAGCATCACCCTCGCGCCGTTGAGGCTTGCGTGAACATTTGTGCTGAGTCACAGATGGGCAAGATCCAGTATGCATATGCTGTACACAGACATTCAAGATTGGATGCTCGATCGTGGTTCGTAAATGGAATCAACATTCACGTGAACGTGTGTGTGTGTGCGCGCGCGCGCGGCCATTCTTGATTATAATTTGTGATTCGTGATGCCAACACGACGCGTAGATTTCTTAAATACATCGCGCGTTGCACGCGCATGTTGCGCTGCAAGTGGGTTCAGGTCCAATCTTCAATGTGAATGCAACACCAAGGCCCTTCTCACTTTCACTTTCACCACTCTCGACTCGTGATTTATGATTGATGGAAATCCTCAACTCACATCAGCTGTCCCAAACGCGTCTAGCTGCAATCTGCCCTCAGCTCTATTGGCAAAGCAGTTGGGAATCCATTATAGAGTGCTGAGCGGGTCTCTGTGCTTGCTACCTTGGCGAGCAGAAGCACCACCACGCGCAAGATGTTGAAAGTTCTTCGCGCCGCCTTTCTCCAGGCTCTACTCTCCCGTAGAATAGTGAGCGAGTCGGAGTCCAAAGCCATTTTTCTGCGCGTGTGCGCTGCTTGCGGACTAGAAGCGGACCGGGACGTGACTAGTCAATACGAAGCGTTCATCGATGAAATCATGCAGCATCTCGCTCCTCTAGGTTTGGAATTGAGGAGCACGGTGGATCAGACTAGGAGCGAGGGAGGTGGTGTGACGGTTAGGGCCATCACTAACGCGAAGGTCGACGAGCTCTCCAAACTCGCTACCCCCTTCACGCCGTTGGAACTATCATACATCAAGCGCGTAGTGAGTTCGAAGTAGACCTCTCGAAGTCGTACTTCGCCTACGCATGTTAAGCCTTTGACGAACGTCACCTTCATGTACAGGTCAGTGGCATCGTGACTGCGCCAGACGAATGCTTCTGCGTCAGCACCACCGAAGCTCTCCTTGTTGCGAGGAGGACCACACCGCCGTTGTCCAAACGCGCAGCTGAAGCGTTGCTTGATCGGGTGGTGGCGAGGGGCTGGTTCTTGCAAAGCGGGTGAGTAGCGGACATCAGACGGGCACTTCGTTGTTCGCGACCTTTGCGACTGCTGTTGGGGGTGCATACATGCGGAGCTTCGTCAAATAAAACGTGCTAATGATTGGTCTCCCCTTATCTCGGCTCAGGACTGGATACTATTCACTTGGCACCCGGGCTATTCTGGAGCTGCAGATGTATCTCAAAGCAGAATTTCCGGATCACATGCTTCTGTGCAAATCATGCGACGAAATCGTCACTGTAGTGAGTCGCCTTCCTTGAAGACGAGGTGGGCCAAGTCTCAAAAACGCATCGCTTCTGCTTGATCACAGGGACTGTCATGCTCAGTTCCCGGCTGCGACGCTAGACTACATCGCCATTGCGAGCTACGATCATTTGGTCCGGCAAGAGCTGGCGCAAATGCCGCCAATTCAACGCGACATTGTCCGTCTTGCAACAAGAGCTGGGAGCCGCTTCCAGTGGGAGAGGCGAGCATTGGCAGGTGAGTCTTGCAGGCGCGGCAAACGCAAGTGAAGCCAAGCTGAACAAACACTACCCTACGACTTGCCTCCTCACGACAGCGGCCGCAAACCCGGTGGTCAGCGATGGGGAGCTTCAGACGATGAGGAGGAAGAGGAACAAGACGAGATAGATGATGAGGACGACGAAAGGCCTGTGAGCAAGAGGGGAAGGAGCGCTGGAGCGAATAAACGTGCGCGCACGGGAACCGCACCGGTACGAAGCAGCAAAAGGTCGCGCGGTTCTCGCAGAGGCGCGATGGTGAAGGGCGAAGAGAACGCCAGCGAGGAGGAGGAGGAGGAGGAAGAGGAGGAGGAGGAGGAAGAGGAGGAGG